TAGTCTTTTACTGCTAAATTAGGGACGGTTAGCCCTCGTGTAGCTTTGTGCGAAATTCAAAACAAACAAACCAAGCCAATTTTCTTACGTAATAATACAATGGAAGTTTGTATTTGACCTTTCAATTACCTTCGACCTCTTCAACCACGTACACATACAGGATCTGGTAAGCGCTTTATGTTGTTCGCCTTTGTAAAAGTGCCTGCTTTAATTTTCTATACAAGAGTGGATGAAGTACATTTTAAAAAAGCATGACTATGGCCGATCGTAAAGGTTACTTTGTATTTTAGTATAAATTTCGAGTTTTTACCCCACCAAAAATATTTTTTTTAACTTTATCAAGACCAATTGTTTAAATGTCTGACGCCTCCATATTATTTGCTCGTACGTTGGTATTTCTAAAAGTTTGAACTCATAATTTCTCACGCATTGTCTCACTTATCACTGGACTGTGATACAAATACATAGTGGCTACAATAAGAAATAGTAAACATGCACACACATGCAAATGTGTCTGTATATTTAGCATTAAGGTGGGTTTTGTCTTTCAAAGACTATAATCCCATTGTTTCAAGGAGAGCATAAAAAGCTTGGAATTTTAGATTGCAAACGGTCAAACTGACAAGGACGTTGCTAGAATAATTTATCAATATGAAAACATCGACGGTTTCAGTTTATCATATAGAGGAGAAAATCACCGGTTTTCGTTTCGAAGTTTGATGATGACATTACCGGTTTAATGTTTATCTTTAGAGGAGGATATCGATGGTTTCGGTACATCAGTTTATGGAGGTCATTGCCTGTTTGCGTTCAAAAATTTGAGGAGTACATCGCCGGTCATGTTAATTTGACGAGGATATCACCGGTTTAAGTTTACGAAGAGTTAGAGTGACATTAGCGATCGTTGATGTAAAATATTATTTTATTAGTTAAACAAAGACCCGAAAAATATGAGGATAATAATATATCTTCTAGTTACAGTCCAAAATAATGGATTGTTTGAGATTATTCGGTAACGTATATACCACGATAAATACCTACCAGCTTGGCGTCTTGTTTAATATGTTTGTAAACAACTATTATGACACGCTACTTGTTCAGTTTGTTTGTTTTGTTTTAGAGCCACATTGGGCTATCTGCTGTATTCACTGCGGGGAATCGAACACCGGATTTTAGCGTTATAAATCCGATGACTTACCGCTGCCCTAGTGGGTGGCTACTTATTCAGTTTTTTCTTTTGTGGTTGCAAGTACAAGAGTACATTTTAATTGGTTTCGGTCGCGACATCTATATTTATATTTTATTAATTTTCAAGGTGCGACAAATTATCACTGTGTACTGTATATACTTTTATACTTGTTTTTCATAGCGAACCCCAAAGGACCTTTAATGTTGAGGATCATTGTTATCAGTTGGTTTGTCTATGATGTCTGTCTGACAAGAATAAGTGATTATATTTTCAATTTAAGGTATTGATAAAAACTGCTACTTATATAAAAATGATATCTCAGAACGATTTCCGATTTTTGCGTTTTACCGTCTTGAATTCTGCGCACTTTTAAATTCTGGCGCACTAATGCCACAGAAACGTGGGGCAAAGATATTTTGCAGATAGATATGATGATCAAAAACTAATTCAGAAAATGCCTGTTCGTTGTATCGGTTAACTTTTGACGTCCTGAATACAGTTGTTTGTAGAATTAAAAAAAGTTCACAAAGAACAGTTATAACGTCAGGGGAGAACTTAGGTCATACTACTTCAGACTCATCGTCACGATTGCGTCTTTGTCCCTGCTGTGTCGTATACGTTGTGTGTGTAATGCTAGTGGCATTAGCTTAGGTGATGTCAGTCTCTATAGCGGCATAGCCTACCAACCAGCTGGCTTGTTCACGTGGCAGAATCAACTCTCTCGGCAACGGTTGTTATTCCAGCCTTCCAACTACTGATCCTATCTGCAGACGATCGCTTACAAGTCACGTGGACCATGCGAATAATGATAATTTTACCTTGTGATGCATTTGACAGCTTAATCAAGGGACTATTTTAATATCGCATAATATATGTGAAAAACATGGTTCAAGTAGGTAAGGAGATTTTAAGTCTTTACTTAACTTGTGAAATTGTATGCATTCACTTTAAGTGTTCTAAGCCAGAGTCGTGCCATTAGTGTTAACGTTAGGCGCATGTATCACCCGACATCTGTTGTATCTGCTTCCGGGATGTCTGGCACTTTATGTCCCTTTCCTAGTTTTTCTCGATTATGAAAACTGTGTGAAGATATCGTCACTTATATGAAAACTGTGTGATTATATCGTCACTTATATGAAAACTGTGTGATGATATTGTCACTTATATGAAAACTGTGTGATGATATCGTCACTTATATTCGTGTAGACTATAGAGGAAAGCGTGTTGCAACTGAGAGCGTTTTATCATATAACATCCAGGGTTAAAATTAAACCTGCCAAAATATTATTTTCGATTTTATGTGAAGCCCTAAAAGCCTATATTGATATGCTTATTATATAGAGTAGCACTGGACATCAGATTTCAATTAACAAGGGAAGTTTAACAAACTTATAGTTTGTTATATTTGTTCTTATGATTAGTGGTGATGCAACAATTCACAGCCTACAGATTTAACTATGTTCAAGTTGAACGCAATATATACAATTATCAGTGTTGCATCTCTTGTTGTGATATGTCTTTTAATACTTAGAACATGCCACTGGAAGTCTGTTTTGATGTAATCGGGAGGAAATTCTGTGATTTACTGACTTTAGAATGTTTTGTTGCCATTACGGTTAGATAGCTGTAGCATAGAGTAAGCTGAGGTGGTATTATTTCACATGTTTAGCAATGTAACGTTTGACGATATATCACTATATAATTTAACAAATTGAGTATTGTGTGCACCATGTTTGAATTACAGTTATGTACCAATAGTTCTTTTTGTTTATGTGCATTCTTTTCTTCATAATCTTATTGTGTCTTTTGTCCGTTAGGGATTCGTATTGATTTAATTTAGTAAAGCTAGAATATTTTCGAAATCGCGTGCAGTGTGAGTGGTTGTGGATAAACATTTCCCAGTACACCATAATTGTTATACCTCTACTTTTGCCATAACCTATTTTCAGGCAGAACTTGTGTAAGCTGTAGAGGAAATCGAGGTTATAGAGACACAACACAAATACACTAGCTAAAACAGGCCACATGTGTTACTATAACAAAATGAACTAGTTTATATCTGTTCTCTGGTTTCATTTCTTTGTGTTGAAGTTTTTAGTTTTCATAGTACATTGTATAGATTATATCTTAGCGATTTAAAACACTATTCATTTTAATAAATTAAAATAACAATTATAATAATTTAATAAATGTCCTTAAGAGTTTTGAACATAATAGACGGAACTATGTAAATATGTAATGCTTTTGTTGTATTGTAAGTGTTATTACAATTGTTGACCAGTCTGTAGCTGGAACGGAGATCACAATGAATGGGTGATGAAATTCACGTAAATGCTCAGTTACATGTTACTTACTGCCTGGCTGGGTAAGCTACTTGATACCACGTGTATGCAATAACATTGTCTTATATGTGTATATATATATATATATATAAGACAGGCTATATACTTGTCTAAGTATTAAAATCAATTAGTTAAACCATAATTTTTACAAAAGTGTAGTATCCACGTTAATGAAATGTTTACAAGTCTTGCGCCTCTATCTCTTAAATAGTAGAAAAATGCATTTTATTTCAATATTTAAATCATGAGATAACGAAAGAAACCTAAATATGACGTTGGCAAAGAAAGGATCAAATTGGACGGGAGGGAGAATCTAGTATTACACAGTTAGTAACAGCAAATCATGGTTTACGTTGTATTTCTGCCGAATCAAAAGACGTTATTTTTCATATTGTTGTATTTGGTTTATACGTCACAAAGCTACTGTCAACACGTTAATAGTGTAGATGTTATTGATTATCAGACATATGTAAATAGCTAGTTAATGTATGAGTATTTTACAAAGTATTCTTGGTTTGAGTGTCGTATTTACGTGTTTCTAAACGTGTTAGTAACATTTGTTTTGCATTATCTACTGGCGCTTGGGATAAAGTTATATATCATTAGTATTCAATTTTAGCACAACTTAATATCATAGTAAAATTTGCAACAACAGTAACAACATTTTTATTGATCCATTTAAAATTTCCCGATTTATATCTAGCACGATTTTAAAAGCTCATATGTTTTGTAAATTTTAGTCCTAGAATATAAAACAATTCATGTGATATATTTATGAAACACACATGACTGAAATTCATAAAAAAAATCACAATAGTACAAACTTATTTGTGATTCTTTAAGAAAACATTCTTAGCTGAGTAATATAGTCCACATGGAGAACACATGGTAGTTTATCTTCAGAAGACGCATCATAACTGAAGCGTTTTATTATATAACATCCATGGTTAAAATCAAACCTTCAAAAGTTGTATTTCCAAAATTTTTGTGATGCCTTAAAAGCTTATACGTATATGCTTATTATAAAATAGTGCAGAACATCAAGCTTCAATTAATACGATTACTTTAATACATTTTTAGTTTGTTAAAATCCTTCTTTTTGTTGTTGTTGGCGGTGATGCAACATTGCACAGTCTACAACTTTAACTACTGTTGTAAGCTACATTTTTAATATCTTAATTTAGATATTTGTTTGCTAGAGTGAACATGTCATTACACCATGATGATGCAAGATCTAAATATACCATGAACGTTAAGACCTTGGTAGAGTTTGGAAGCTTTCTGTTTTACAGAAAGCTAGATTGTATATAAATACCAGATTAAATGAAGTATTCAGTTACTGAGTTAGTTAGTTATTCAGTTCCGTATCAGTTGGGAAGTAAGACAGTAAGAGCTAATTATCTATTCATCTGTGATTCAGTTAGTAAACTAGTCAGTGAGTTAGTGTGTTTGTTCAATTGTTGCGAGTTAAGCTATATTAGTTTTCGAACTTCTTTTGAAACATTGTTTGTGAAGTTAAGCCTACCAGTGAATGTAGCCTGTAGCAAACGTTATTAAAGAGTACACCCAACAATAAAATATGTTACAACAACACTGAATTGAGAAGTTTACGGACTTACAACTCTAAAATCCGGGATTCGATTCCCCGCGATAGTCACTGCAAATAGCTCAACGTGGATTTGCTCTAAAACAAACAAATAATATGATTAATCTTCAACTTTTAATTAAAGATCACAACACGAGCATGAAACAAGATAGAAAAATTGCTGGATATGATGAAACAGTGGAAAAAAAGAACAAGTAAAAATAAACAGAGCATTACAAGAATATCAAGAAAAAAAGAGACAGAAAATTAAACGAAGACCAAAAAGAAAGAGAGAAAAATAAAAGAGGATCAATAAGAAAGGAAGATTAAAGAATGAAGAGGTAAGAGACAGAGATTTAAGAGAAGATTTAAAAGAAAGGGGCATAAGATTTAAAGAAAATGTAAGTCTGATTGAAAACGAAATTGATGAAGCTATTGGAGATGTACAGAGGGATTACAACAACAAGACTGGAAAAGTCTATAAAGACATTTGTGAAGTATAGAAAGATCATAACAGCAAGATCAGTGAGGTAGAAAGGAATATCAATTCCATAATTAAACATTTGGAATATGAATTAGTAAGTGCAAAGATAAAAATATCACACCATTTACTATAAGATATAGAATAAGAGAAACTATTTGGTCTACACCTCTTTACCAAATCAGTTGCAGAATTTAATTGACCAGTTCAACAACATTGCTTAATTGAGAGACAAACAGACGGTGATGTTGATACACTGTGGGAGGCATATTAGGCTCACTTTTAACTAATTTTCAGAGTGAATGGGTGAAATAATGAACAACAAGCTATTTACCTTGCTGCCTATATAAAAGTACATCTTTTAATGACATTAAGTAACATTCTAGTTGATAGTTCTAACAACTATCAAGCATTGATACTTGCTTTATTTAACATGTCCGGAGTGAGACAATAGAAGAAAGTATCCAAAGCAAAGTTCCAGTACAAGGTACAGAGGAAAAGAGACCTTAGCCAAATGTTCATAAGATTTAGAAAGGCTTTCCCAATTATCTTACCTGGGTGTTTCACGCGAAATAATAAATTTGGTGGCACATTACCAATTTATAGATGTCACAACAGCCAATAATGTGACAATTAGACTGAAGCAAATTAGGTATAAATCTTGGAAGGAAGATCTTCAATTGACGATGGAACTTAAACCCATTAAAGCTACAAATAATCAACTAAAGACACGATCTAAAAATTACGGGATCCTTAAATCAAATAGTATTGAAACATCTCCTCCCTCCTCTAGAAGAACTGAAAAGATTAGTTGGACAACCAGTTACATAGAATGAGGAAAATGAGCCACAAGGCAATAACTGTTCGAAGTATAAAAACATATTTACAGGAACTGCAGACAAAAGCATGTGTGGAATAAAACTTCCTACCAAAGGATGTTAGAGAAACATGGCTATTGCATTTGAAATTGTGAGGAATCAACAGCTGTTAATAAATGAAGGAGAAAGTACCTTAAAGATGAACCTTTGAGCCCAACCAGATCAAAGGGACAAGAAAGAGCTAACCAGACGTAGGAAGACCGGAATTAGCTGAACTGATGGGGAAACGTTCAGCTGAAAATACCAAACTTGCCTCAACTGACACAAGAAGTTCATTATTTAAAGACATCAGTCTACGAGTTTACTGATGGGAAGCTTTACAGTATGTTGATTGACATTGGTTCTACAGCTACAACTGCTCAACCTGATTTCATAATGAAAGGTGAGAAATTGTCTCTAGAGATTAATAAAAATGAAATTATGTAAACAGCAAGTGTGCATAAAGTTCCAACAAGAGGAAACTTAGAAGTTACTCTTAATGTAGAAAGCTTGCTATACCTTATGATGTGTAATTGACGTCAGAGAAGAATGAATATTGGGAACTGACTTCCTGCAGAGATATGAATGCGAGGTTAGGCTAGCTTCAAATAGCTTCACAGCCTATGAACAG